ATAAATTTAGCCTTGTTGCGGATGTAATTAATTCTATGACTGTCGCAATACAAATGGGCATAGATTTACATAAGTGTAGAAATTACAGGAATTGCAAATGTAATTCATGTCATGAACCTATCCTACGCCTACGGTATACAAGACATCTATAGGTATACGCTACGGCGGATGAGATACCTATTCTCTATTCTGTTATTGAAATTTGTTCCGTGATTATTAATTTATTTAATTAATTCTTTATGAAGAGCAGAGGAACCATTTCTCGGAAATTTTCGGATATTTGGTGCTCTAAATTAATACATAATGATGCACTGAGTTTATGTGTGTGAATAGTATCGAGGACGACATAAGGACTGTTTGTACTGTCTTTATTAGGAATGATATTCAAGTAATGGATTTATAATGATAATCAAGGAAGTTTGCTAAGAAAATGAGAGTGACGCTTAAATAGTTTGAAGCCACTGCGGTATCATTGGCATCAACTAAACTCATTACCTATGTGACACTTTCCCTCAATGAAAGACGAAGTATTTAAACCGTAAACGGTTATATGGTGCAGATCCTTAAAATTCACATGTACTTTTTTAATAGTTCGGTGCCAAAGGTGGAAAAATAGGTAATCACAAGACGAAGAATTTAAAAAAACGTTGATCAGAAGTGTATTTCCCTAAATCGGCGAGAAAAAGGACAGGACGTATGCTAGAAGAATACGAAAAGCACAATTCATTTACCATAGACGGAAACTACAGTGGCACATTGTGTAACAAAATCATGCTAATAAAAAACTAAGGTAGTAGTTCACAATGAATTCATTAAAAAAAGTCATTCATGAAAATTCCATCCCGGCGTTTTGAAATAAGAACCATATTAATAGTTATTTTGCTTTTAGAGGAATTTTGAGGAGATTGAAATGATGTGTCTAAACTAAATTTATAACCAAAATCGTCGTTTTGTCTTAGAGATGGAAATTAATAGTTTCGTTGGTGCCGGGGTCCTAAAAAAACAAAATCTTGGCAAATTTCTTAACGTAGAATCTGATCGCTCGATTATTCCTTTATTGATTGGGTTGTAATATGTATATGTACTATCATTGAATAAGTAATCTTATTCAAATGTACTATGCATGTCCAAGCACAGACTCTGTGGGCCAAGTTTACTTATGGAGCGTCTATTCGCCTCACTATTAGGCAACCAACATATCTCCATTCGTTTTCTGTAAATAAAAATATTGGTAAAGAAAACAATAAATAGAATTCTAGGTCCGAGGTACTTTTTATCTAATATTTGCTACCACCCTTTTTTTAAATAATAATAATATATTTACGGAATTCACCTGTTACATTAAATATCACAAAAAACATATTCTTAGTCAAAGATCATACTTTGTCTTAGCTAAATTAACATAAATTGATTTTCTGACTTAATAAGCCTTCGCTAAAAGACAATACAAAGTAGAAAACTAGAATAGTCTAGGCGATAGAGACTGTAAAATTGGCAAACTGGACATTTTGAGGTGGAAAAGAAAAAAATGGTGGAATATGTTCAGTTAGGTGTCAAAAACAACATATTAAAAATCCCACCCTCCAGACCCTGTGCTAAAGGCTCCAGCCACCCCACCATCCCCCAAAAACCGCGTTTTCGCACTTTTTGGCTGATATCTCGCGATCTATGAGGTCTATATGAAATATTTTTAGCTGAAAATATTTCTCGGGAAATTTCATACAAGGTAGATATGCAGAAGTTAGCCTAAGTGTACCTCTTAGACTAGGAAATTCATAAAAGCGGCGAAAATCATCAATTTTCGTGGCTTTTTGCAAATATATCGCGACCTTTAGGGCTAGATGAAATATTTTTAGCTGAAAATGCTCTTCGTGCAATTTCGTACGAGATAGGTAACTTAAGAGTTGGCGTAAAGTCACCTTTCACCTTCAACTTTCATGTGTGAGAAAATATTCATTGTAAAACAAAATATTTCTATGTACCATTTATTCACGTAAAAACAGTATTTTCATATTAAAATATTCACACATTCATTTATACCTCAACGTAATCATTACCCTTATACTTATCCAAATCAATTCGTACTTTTTCGATCAGACTTCTTAATCAAAAGTTATAGACTAGAAACCAATTTGAAAAAAATTCAAAGGGCTGTAACTTTTGAACTAGTAGCCCAATCTTGGAACTGTTTGAAATTATGGATTCTACAGGCCACATTCTATAAGAAATTTTTTTTCCGGGTCGATCTGTGACAATTTTTTTTCGGGGCTCAAAAAAGGCAGTGTATAAACCTTCCTTTTTTACCAAAAATCGACTAAACCAAAATTTCTCGGGAAAACACTTTTTCTTATTAATTTGGGTGCGTAGAATCCAAATCAATTCGTACTTTTTCGATCAGACTTCTCAATCAAAAGTTAAAGACTAGAAACCAATTTCGAAAGAAAATTCAAAGGGCTGTAACTTTTGAACTAGTAGCCCAATCTTGGAACTGTTTGAAATTATGGATTCTACAGGCCACATTCCATAAGAAAATTTTTTTCCGGGTCGATCTGAGACACTTTTTTTTCGGGGCTCAAAAAAAGGCAGTGTATAACCTTCCCTTTTTACCAAAAATCGACTACACCAAAATTTCTCGGGAAAACACTTTTTCTTATTAATTTGGGTGCGTAGAATCCAAATCAATTCGTACTTTTTCGATTAGACTTCTCATCAAAAGTTATAGACTAGATGCAGATTCCACTTCTTCAGGCTCTTCGACGTCCTCTAGTGGGTCGTCTGAGATTACCGACTCGTAGTTCTCGTCTCCCGCTTTACCTGATGCATGGGTACCCTGAAGAGACGACGTGGCATTTAGGCACGATGCTCCATGACCATGACCTACAACAAGAAGCATTATGTCAAAAAAATCTTTATAATTATGTATACGATTATAATATTCTCTCGTGTGTCCTAAGTGTCCGGTAGAGAAGGTTTACCTGATTTCCTGCAACTGTTTCAGAAAATCAGGTAAACCTTCTCTACCCGACACTTAGGAGTTATATAGGAGTTATATTTCAGACAACCCACTAGCACTAGAGGACGTCGAAGAGCCTGAAGAAGTGGAATCGGCAGAGGATAATGATTACCTATCTCGTATGAAATTGCACGAAGAGCATTTTTAGCTAAACATATTTCATCTAGCCCTGAAGGTCGCGATATATTTGCAAAAAGTCACAAAAATTGATGATTTTCGCCTCTTTTATGAATTTCCTAGGCTAAGAGGTAACACCTAGGCTAACTTCTGAGTATCTACCTTGTATAAAATTTCCCGAGAAATATTTTCAGCTAAAAATATTTCATATAGACCTCATAGATCGCGAGATATCAGACAAAAAGAGCGAAAACACGGTTTTTGGGGGATGGTGGGGTGGCTGGAGCCTTTAGCACAGGGTTTGGGGGGTGGGATTTTTAATATGTTGTTTCTGACACCTAACTGAACATATTCCACCATTTTTTTCTTTTCCACCTCAAAATGTCCAGTTAGATGTCTTTATCGCCTAGACTAAAAGTTTTATTCAAAGACAAAGATACAAACAAATGTTCAGTTTGATTACAACCAACAATAAGAAGACTTAAAGCATCTATTTTTGGCAATTAATATGTCCCCACTGTTAGATTCACCTTTTATCGTACGATTTGTTCTATAAACATTAAAATTGGTAAACGGCAGTTGATCATTACTAATATTATGATAGATCCAGGTTTCTCAAAAAATAATGACATCATAAACAGATACATCAGCAGATAATAGTAGATCTTTTAGTTTAGATCTCATACCCCCACAGTTTTGATAATAAATATTTAGTTTTTTGGTCTATCTGAAGTAATAAACGGTACATTATTCTTATATTTTATAACTAAATCAGGCTCTTTTAATTTCCGTGCTTCCAATTCACTTAATTTTCTTATAATAAGCGATTTGTTTCTGTGTTCTATCAGAGCGAAACAGAGAGCTATAGGATCATTGGCATTGCTTCTTAAAACTTGCAAAGCAATCTCGTCGGAATTAAATATAATTTTCAAAAGTCTCGCCCTATCATTTACTTTTTACCCAGTCTAAAAACTTTTATGGGAACAGTGGATATATTTGGAACTTGCACAATCTTTTGCACCTCCTTATTATCATCAGACTTCCTAACTTCTAGATCAGGTGAATTGGATTCAGGAGGGTTAAACAATAAAGTGTGCCGCTTACTAGCAGTTCTTTCAAATAGATTTTCAATTATTTCCCCAAAGACGTAATCTTTTTCGGAAACCAACGCATTCTTCCTTAAATCGTCAATTTCCGCGCCATATATCACATGAGTAGCTTCCAAATTAGAAATACGAGATTCGAGTTTATCAAATCGGGTTTCAAATAAAGTTTTAATATCTTCATAAATTGATTGAAATCTTGAGCAATTGTTGCATTTAAGATATCAATAGTAACATTATCAGTATCAGAAGATTTATTGCATGACCATTTAAGATCGGTTCTATTCAGAAACGTAACGTCTGCATCATTAACCCCTGAGAATTTGAGATGGACATATTTATTACATTTACCAGTAGGTACATTTTATGGAAGGTATAAACTATAAAGTTTCAAATGTAGGTGACAATGACGATAGACAACCAAACGTACATGCAGAGCATGCATTTGGCTTGTTATTTTCTAGCAAGGAATTTTAAACTATAAATTGTAATTGTTTATAGTAGTGTATGTACCGTACAACATTATACATAAAATCAAAAAGTGTAACTACACATTTTTATTTACAATTTAGAGTATATTTAATTTATACAACGTTTCTTGGCAAGATAACTTAAGTATATTACTGAGCTACATTGAGGTGTGTATTTACAAAATGATCAATGCGCTGGAACATGCTTGTTACGCAAGTATTGTGACAACTATGGGTTAAACACTGGGAATTTTTTGTGCTTAAACGTTTAACAAACAAAAAATTGACATCTTTGGCTTGAAGTGTAATATTATGGTCTATCAAATTAAACAATATTAGTGGAAGGGTGGTTTAGATGGGTAAACAAAAACCACTGTATGTACTGACGGCTTCTTCCGTATACGATTTGCCGGCAATAACGCCATAATCTGTGTGGTGATGAGGACATTTATGTGCATGAGGGCATTGGCATAAGGTGTTTGTGTTAACTTCATCTAATAATTCTGGTCGTTTATGCACTGTAAAAAGTCGACATGGCTCTTTCCTCTGGCACCGAAGTTTCTGGAAACCAATTATTGAGTTACTTTGTTTTATAACCCGCAATTTGTAATTTTTTTAAATCAAAAATAAATACTTACACTTTGAGGAGAACACGCGAAGGAATATCGGTACTCTATTCTTCCATTAGGGAGGTGATGCGCCAGCGGCTTTATCAAATAGGTGACTGAATTCTTCGGACAATGGCAGTGAACTATTTGCTCTGTAAAGTTGTCAGGTTTGGAGATATAAGTCCACGTAATGTCCCGAAAATATCTGCATGAATGGCATTCAATTTTTATTTGATTTTTCGCTCGTCATTTACCTGCACTTTGGTAATTTCTTAATGGGTTCGCATAGTTTGTACTGCCTGTGTCGATCCAACAGTGTATACCCATCATTTGATATAATGCTTGAAGGACATTGATTGTCATTTGGACATCTACACGTACGTTCCAACCATGGAGTTTCATATAAATCTATTCGACTACATATCGCCCAAGCACTGCATACTGGTAGGTGCGACTCTGAATTCTGAAACATAAAGTGCCATAACACATCTATTGCGTGTCAAAAATCGAAAACATCCTTGATAGGTTTTGATGCAACGTGCAGAATATTTGACATAAAATCATAATGTAAACACGTTCGGTTCACACGTGTATCCTTGTTTGTTTATTCATGCACGTCTCTCGGTGGTAAGTTTTTATTATTATTCTTATGTCACGTGCTTTTGTTGGTGCGTAGAGCACGATCTTCAAAAAAAATTGTAACGTTCTGCACTGTTACATCTTCCGCAAACATAAAATCTGAGAAGAGGATCCCTTTCGGTCAATGAAAAAATCGTTGGCAAAAGATAAATGAAATAAAAATCCGTTTGAAGGACTGTATACGTAATTGTCTTAAATAGGACGATGTAAAGATGTATTAACTGCGAGATGAATATATTCAGTTATAAATGCTCTGAATTCATTTCCTCCCTATTGAAAACATACAATACTGTTTTAGATTCAGTGATGGGAGGTTGCCCTTAATTAGTTGACGGAGTTTCCGTTACTGAATTGATTGTGCAATTTAAATGTTTCCCGAAAGTTAAGCAAAGGAGTAAGGGCTGGGCGTTACGCAACCGGAGAATGTTCGGAAACGTGCTCCAAATATAAATTAAACAAAAAAGACAATTAAGAAAACGGCAGTGAACGGCTTTGCGATCCGCACGTACGTATTTAAAAAAAATCTGGCCAATGACATGCGTGAATGCTGATCAAAACAAGTAGAATATGACTTCCTCTCAGACGAGAGTAACTAGATTCTTGTTTTCTTATACGCATTTTTCACCAATCTCAAAGCTACTGTTTCTTTAATGATAATTATTTTTAAAACGCTACTATAGTGACAATTATCCTATCGTTTTGTCACGTACTTTGTTTTTGTACGCAGTTTTAGTTTAAATCACAACATGCGTACAGCGGAATACAATGACCGAAAATTTCGGTCAATGTATCCCAAATTTTTGGATTGGGAGTTTTTGATTGGTAACAAAATTTTGGCGGGATTTTCACTGCGCCCCTCGACGAGATTGACGAAATTATTGAATGAAATCGCTTACCCCTAACTGATATAGCGTTCTAAAATTGTTTAATTCTGCCATTTTTTTCTTATAATCTTCCGAACTGTGGTGGTGGTGGTGGTGCAAATGATGTTCAGCCGAATATTGTTGGAACACTTCTAAGGGTAATTTTGAACTGTAAGTCGTATTCACTAAAATTAATACGGCTAATATTTCAGCATACATTTTTCACAATAATGTGTCCTTTAAGTATTTTTTTATGAAAAAAAGGGTAATTCTTTATAAGTCACGTGTATTCAAATATGCACATTTTTCTATTAAGCGGTAATTTGGTGAAGCGAACAAATTTTTAATAAATAAGTTTGTTTTGAATGGGTTACGTAATTTCTTAAGTATTTTCAAACTACTTTGCCCATTCCTCGAAACGTACTACTATACACTTCACTGCTTCTGTGAAGGCATGAATGGAGCCAGATAATCCCCCCTTACCCTCCAGGTAAAAGAACGTTGCTACACCACCTGTTAGACGACCAGGTGTCGCCCGTGTTACACACGTACCCTAGAAGGGAACGGGGCGTTTTAATGCCAATAGGCGGACCCTCGTAAATGGGAATATTTCATTCATTTTTTTCAAAAATAATGTATATCTTTTCGCGCCACTTTTTTGTACCATCGCTACGCAGAAATATTGCGGCAATTAGTGGACATAGATGGTGACTGCCTTAAGATGAGTATTAATGAGAGGAAATGGTCTGCGTTATGTGTAATAAAGAAGAACGTTACACCAAATCTCGGCTACTCTGATTTCCGGTCACAAATTTACTCAAAGCCGTTCGATACGATACGCGTCCATGAAAGGCGGCTGCATTCCACACCTGTTCACTCCGGAAGTTCATATAACAGCAAAATATCTCGACAAATCCCTGACTTGGTGTTCATCAAAATATCCCATTCACTACAAATTTCATTCATCAAAACTTCCTAGTTGAAACCATGGGAGCATAACAAAATGTCAAGGAGAAATTTAATTGAAATGTTAAAAACGCGCGATAAACTTGAAAATTATATGGGGGAGGGAGATGCATTTTTGGGCCATTTATCTATATAGGCGTGTTAAGAAGGTGCCACAGTTTCTCAACTCAGACTTTATATTGTTCTTTCAAAGTCTGTTACATTTTCAATTTTCAAAACTACACGATTTTGCTCTTACAACTGAATCCTTCTGTTAGTGTTTTTTTAAAAGACACTTTTATGTCAAATCTTCTTTGACAATAATATAAATTCTGGCGCCGTTTTACTTTTAAAAAGGCTGTTAGTAAGCAATCTCTATGCAAATTTCGAAGAGACGACGCCACACAACATCCTCCAGTTTGATCTGATAGATGGTTTATATTTATTATTATTGGTTCTACACCGGAAAGTGCAATTGGAAAGATCCTTTTTGATTGGTTCTAGACGATAATTTTTATTGTAGCTGCATTTCTAAAATTCTGGGATGTTTGTCATAAACTTACCTACTTCCACATAGTGATTTTATCTATATATGTATAATTAAGAGGATAATCTTGTAACTACTCATAATTTATAGCTACGAGTTCCCGCGCAACCCTTTTTTTTTTATTATATGTACATTTCATTGCGTTCTTTGTTCATCACGTTGTGATAAATATGACGATGTTTGTTCTCACAAATTATTGCCAAATTTCGTTTTTTTTTCGTGCCGTAACTGTTCCGTTATAGAAGTCTGAATTCAAACACAGCAGGATACGAGTCTCCATAAAGGAGTCTGAAGTAGCTTCCTGTCCGATTATGATAAAATGGCTTTTGGTTTTGTTTTGCTTTTACAATAACAAAGCTTATACTAAATAAATAAACGTTAAATCAGTTGTACTATCGTACTGATTATGGAACATTTTTGGTTTTTTAGTCCAGATTCGGTACCTACCTCATTAGCTCTTACACCCAAATCTCGGGGGCCAACTAGTGGAGTTTGTACCTTTAAAAAACCGGGGGCTGAGTCAAATTGGTCCCTGCGTTTCGCTTCAGGTAAAACTGAATAACCGACGAAACAGGAATATAAAACAGCTTTAGGTACTCTTCAATGAAACACATTTGTCTTAACTACCATTTAAAAATTAGAATTACGTATTTGATTGTTTCCAAAAAAAATATGTTTCTCAAAATAACAAGGGAACTTTTTCCATTAGGTTTCTCCACTAAATCTGTTGATGGATTAAACCTGATAAATATTTTGTATTACATTGATTCCAATTCTCACACTTGCTATAGGTCTGTTTGCCCGTTTGTCAAACATAAGAATTTGGGGTGATCTTTTAATGAGTAACATTTGCGCGTTTGTATCACGAGTCACGACCCGAGGGAAACTATCCTCGAAGATCGTCATGTCAGGTTATGTAGTCAAATGAAAGGATTATTCAAATTTGTTTCTAAATATTATTTTATTTCCAGGGAAAGTTTGTGAAGTGGCTGCACGCTATTTTGGACGGGTGCTTCCTCTAACTTATTACGAGGAAGAAAATGTGATTAGAGCAGTTATTCCGGCCAGAGAATCCGATGCGTTCGTTCGAGATGTCCGTGGACTCACTATGGGCTCGGCTGTCGTTTCATGCGTTTTTCATGGCTATGAGGTTTGTGTATTTTTTCAATTCTTTAAAAATTAAATAACGTAATTTCTCCAACATTACAAAATACATTGGAAACCGTAGATTATAATCGGGCCACTTTATTTTTTTTGTGGTACACCTCGACTTAGTTGTCTATGTAATTTGATATTTTTCCGTTTGAGATGAACGGTTTGTCGTCTGATATGAAGAAAATAACATAGCAAACTACTGCTTTTGGCGACCAAACAATACATTTCAAGTTTTCTATGAGGCGAAAATGGGGTGTATATTTAAATGCCCGTGTAAGATTGCAAAATTGAGCGATCCTGTAACCTCGGTTCTCCAGGACCGCGTGTATGTAATTAGTAAGCAATAGAACTGCATCTGCTGCTGACGTTTGTCGTCTCCCAAAAATTTGCTCGTGTAAAACGGTCTCAATTATTTGGGAGAAATTGCTCTATAACTGTTGATTGGTTAATGCCGCTCAGAGCACACACCCACACACACACACTTCGAATCATATCCGCCACTTTTCACAAACAAACACAGTCCCAAAAATTCTTGTACAAACCTGATTCTTAAAAGACCAACAAAACAGTTTTCAATGAAAAGCTTTTTTTTAATGTATGGTGGAACCGAGCGTAGCAAGTAACATTGGGCAACATGCCTTTAACGTCAAATTGAAAATTGAAATTACTTTTAACAAGAGCTTGTTCCACTGTGTGGTCTAGCTTCAAAAGCAACATCAGTCAATATATCCTACCCGATAAATATACAAATTGTCTACGGTTTGAGCACCCGAAAAAGTTGCGCTTAGAGTTAATGAAATATGCAAATGTGATCCGGTTGTACTGCGAAGCGAGAGTGATTTTTTTGTACCTACAAGTTGCGAAAAGTTTTGCTATTTTGCTGCGAATCACAGGAAAAAAGCTCGCAAAAAAAGTGAGCAGCCAAATTGATGGACACAAATTATCATTCTTCAATAATAACTATCGTCATCGATTGATTACAGAAATACTTTGAAACGGATATTGCATCGATAATTTTCCCGTCGCCCCAAACTGCGGAAAAAAATCATTTTCACTTCCATTAAAAAAATCAAAAGTTTGTATCATTTCCATTTAAATGCGCGTGAATCGGAAATCATTAGCGCAAAAGTAGCCCACTATTTTTTGTAAATAATCAAAAATAGTAAAGCGTACAATGACCCGCCTCCACTCAATATAATTTGTTTTTAAAAAATTAGGTTTGGGTGATCTTTCTATATTCTGATATCGAAATTTCTATAGGGTTTTCGAATTTGAAAGATTGACGTCCGCGTAATTCCTACACTTTCTACTAATAAACGGATATTTACAATTATAAACTCGTTAATAGCATAGAAGAGAAGCAAAGCTACTTCTTATGTTCGCTTCTCAAGATGACCAACTGCAGGAAATGAGTCCTTCCAGGTATGTCTGTCTCGGTAATAACATTCGAAAGAAATAGCAATAATGTCATGGCCACTCCTTGCAATTTTGATTTCAATTAAAAAAAAAGGTACGCACTTGCGTAGGTATTTACAGTTTTTTGGCTACGCGTTCTTTTCTCATTTATTGAAAGGTAGTTATTATCGCTAGTTTATGTTTGTTCATTTCCAGAACGACCTGTAAAAAAGTTGTGTAATAACCCTAATGATTCGTTGCGTTAATTTTGTGGTTAAGCAGGTAGCACATGTCAGAAGACAGTTTATAGTATTTTTTCTTGGCATTCTTCGTGCTTTCCAAGTTTGAGGTACTTTAAGGTGTTCAATGTATGCTTTATTGTTACTGTTGTTAATTAAATGTTTAAGGGTTTGGGATTTATTTGCCAGTTCTAGTCTTTATTTTCCAGATCCATCATTTTGCTGTTTTCGCCGCAGTATAGCTGCATATAGTTTCATTAATTCTTTCTCTACAATTAATCTAATCTCAAGCAAGCTACTATACAAAATTATGGACATACCTCTTTTTTTGTCCAAGTAATCAGATCCTCTTCTTGCCCACAAGGTATCCATATCTTCTTACAGAAGACATATTTCAGTTCTGACTACAAAAATGTATACTTACCCTCATCGTTTAGGTTTCGTTTTCCCGGAACATGTCCATTAGACAACCATTGCTCGTCTAATGCGCTATCAATTAAATTTTTATTAAGACAACTTTCATCGAACAAATTGGCACATTTGGGGCGGATTTGCCTTCGCCGCGTATTTAATTATAATCATCATTATAACTATTCGAGCCATATAGTTTGCCATTGTTCAGGAAATTTCGTTAATGTACTTTCAGTTTCACTTTATATATGACTATGCTTGTCATCATTGATCGGAAATTATTAATTTACTCACATTTCGCTTATTTGTTCTATATTGAATATATGCCTATACTGAATGACAAAATAAATAAATCTGTTTAGCCAAATAATGCAAAGAGGAACATATGGCACGATTTATAATTAAAACTGCCCATAGATACCTAATCAGTGATCAAACTGGGATAGATCATTAATTGACTATTGTAGTGGACCACCTAATTAAGGCTGGCTCCGCAAGACGCCAACCTTTTAATACCTCGTTTTCAAAAGGAATCAAACAACTGCAGTTTGCAAAAACGTGTTTGTTTATTTAAAGGATTTGTATGTAACATAAGAGCATTAAGGTATTGTGCTATTGTTCAGGTGAAAGCTTTATTTTCTGAAGTCCTTTGTGAAACGTGCCACATCCATCAAGTTAGCATTCAACACTTGTCAAAAATTTAATTATTGCATTTATTCAGCAATATCTCCGAACAAAAATATTTGTGGAATATCTGATAATGCTGGAACTTTAGAAAAATTAGTGGACTTAAATTTCCAGTGGCAATCACCTGGTATCTTACTAAATGTTTGAATTGATGATTCGATTAAACATATACTTGTGGAAATCATTTCGATTCATAGCGCTTATTTTGTCAATAGATTTGACTTTTTGAAAAATTGTTCAACATTTAAATTTTGGTAGGTAATTAAATCTTGGGCTCATTATGGATTCAGATTTGCGATATTTAAGTTGCATATCTCAAAATTAATTCAAAAATTATATTTTACGTTGAAATTGTTGTATTCTCATAGGCATTCATTAAACCAACATTTAAAAAAGTTACTTTGTGATACTCGCATTTTATCGAATTTTAATTATTGTGATGTGGTCTACAGTTCAAATTTGGATTGCTGTGAAAAAAGACGAATTCAAATCGTTCAAAACTCCTGTCTTAGGTTTATATTTGGCTTCAGAAGAAGGGCAGGAATTTTCCATTACATGAAAGGCAGGTTGGTTGAAAATGGAAGATCGAAGGACGCTGAATTGCTACTGCACTTTTTATAAAATAGTTGTCAATAAATGCCTCGTTAACAAAATGCGGTTCAGAACTGACACTCATAATATTAATATACGAAGAAAGGATTTACTTATTACAATCCCTAAGCATAATCTTCAATTATATAAAAGGTCCTTCTCTTATTTAATAGCTTTTTATCTAAACAAACTAAAAATTAACTTTTCATCTATGTCTCTAGCACAATTCAAAACCTTAATTAAAAATAAGCTTTATTCTGGTGAAGTATAATACCTATAATTAATGTACATTTGTACCATCTTCCTCCATTGGAATCATTGACTGATAAACTTTCTCTCCTTTTCACAATTTAATGGATGTAGGTAGATTTCCACGGCTAAAGTACCTATACCTCTCTATGGCGTATTGGGGCTGAGTGGTAGACCAGACGGTTAATATTTTTGACCAATCTGAATCATAACCCCTTGAGAGAAACTGGAAGGACTAAGAAATTGTAATGATCATGCTCATGTACCTGATGATGTATTCTATGTAAACCCAATAAACGATTTATTATGATTATTATTATATATTATTATTTTCATCAACATATTTTGCCAATTTATTTATTTATTTTTTTTTATTCCCCATGTACTACACTACGCTATAGTATTGCGACAACAGGCCGTATTCCTTGTTTCTACACTAAAACACATTTTATGGAGAAACGATATAATTTGAAATGTATGTACACACCCTTGTAATAGGTCTGTTGTACCGTAATGTTTACATTTATTTTTTTATGAAAAATTCTATCAAAAAATTGGAATTTTTCAATAGTCCGTCCGTCTGTTCCTCGTCTAACTCGAGAACGAAAAGAGACACCAATGTCAAACGTTCGCTCATCGATTTCTACGCATTGAAGGACCGGTGCTATTAAATATGAGCCTGATTAAAAGTCGCGTTTCCGCATCTTCGTGCCGAGTGTCAATAAAATACCCTTAAATCGTATGCGATTCTTCGTATCTTGCTTTAATCGGCACAAAGATATTATTATAACTGCATTTTGTAAGGGTTTTCCCCCGCGAACGGGGACTATAAAATATATGGTGGAGAGTGAATGAAATACTCGGTACTATTTAAATTGTATCTCCTGAAACAATGTAATTAGTAATATTACTAAGGCCATTCATTTTAACTATGTAAATTTAAAGAGATATCCAGAGCGCCCAAAGTGAGATACAGAGTGTTCAAGATAAAATTCATACGGTAGAAAATGAAATGAAAACTGAAATTGATTAACTACGAAAACAGTTTAGGGTATTGTCTGAAGAACGCGAACAAAGTGATGTGTCATCTGTGATAACACAAGATCTACTGGTTGTTCCACAATCGTCCCCCAAACCGTGTGAAAGTATTGCTACCTATATTTCAAATTCCGAGTTAAGCCACCGACGTTCGACGGAAAATTACCGTGGTCCACCTACTTGAGACAGTTTGAGGCAAATAAATGGACAAGTAAAAGAGAATGTAACTTTCTTGATAGTTGCGTTACGTGGAGACGCGTTGGATGTTTTCCGTACGATTCCAGAACACCAGCAACAAGATTTTGAGCGAATCGTATCACGGTCAGAAACTCGGCATGGAAATAAACATTTGCAGCAGTCCCAATTCGCTCAATTAAGGAACCCCTCACTATGGTTAGAGGTGGTCTTCTAAAGAGAATTCTAAGAACAATTGTCGTTCAATATATAAGCAAATTGTAGCGTATTTGGGTTCAGTTCCAACTTCGATGCCTTTGTGTTATGTTATAAATTGTAAGTGATAAAACAATAATTGCAATTATAAATTAATCCATTTTAAGACTGTTATAAATTTAAGTTACAATACCTTTTGCCAAAACCGAATATGTATCCTTATCTAACTCGTCATCAAGTATATTTGGAAAATGTTCTTATCCAAAATGACTACTTTACTAGGTACCTTTATTTAATTTATGACCGAAATTTTAGAACGACCACCAATGTTTCCTATAATTGACTATGAATGTTGTATTTTTTTAGCACACACGTGATTCGGTCGATCCAGATGAAGAAGAAAAACGTACTACTCGTTTAAATCCACGCGCTGATCAACTGGTCAAAGCCGTCTTGCAACGTAAAGGAATGAACTCATTCGATGAACTGCTTTTTAAGGGTGAAAAGCAAAGAACTCGGAAGAAATAAGTATTATGTACATAGGTTTTTAATATTGGTAGTTCAATTTTTCATATTTTGTTTAGTGGTATGTACTATGTGTCATCTAAACATTTATTAACATTATTAGTTGAGTTCAGTTATACCTATGTGTTTCATATTTTATGTTGCATTAAAAAAAATGGTTGTCTTTGTGTATTATTGTACTAATCGGTAAGTATAAGTACAATATTCTACACTTGGGTGTAATGAACTAAAAAGAAACGTGAGTTGGTGCTACTATTGCCGCTTGTAGCCAAGAAGAAAAAGGAATCTGGACTCTCTTTGATAGTTATTGACAAATCGCCGAATAGGTAAACTCGGCAGCATAGGCAACCAACATACATTCCGTCTATCGCGTCGGGACCCGCCGATCAATTTGTTTCTGAACATTTTGGAACCAGACTAGTTAATTTTTCGTCGTCCGTTTTGTCCTCTCTTGAACATTCAACGGCCATCGACTGAAGAATGCGCTCACACTCGAACGTCACATCCTGTTGCGGTCCGATTTTTAACTTAGAAACGATCCTCTGCAGTCCTATTCTGGACGGTAGGCGACGTGACGTGACGGAATGAGCTAATGTGCACCTAAAATTCAATCTCTTTTATGTTGAATGTTTTTTAACAGTCCGTACTGTGACAGTGATTAAAACCTTAGGAAAATCGCCCCCTAAAATTGCTTCAAACAAGGATGTGAATAAAGTGATCCCTAATGACCTTTAAATTGCCCAAAATATATTTGAATTATTTCATTGTTTATTAATAATGTAGAAATTGGAGATGCGTTTAATTTAATAATTATCTAGCTGTAGCGAATTCCATATGATATCCATTCACCCCATCGTTGGCATTTATCAAAACACCCTATTGATCGATGTGAGAGGCCTGCTCCTTTAAAAAATGTGATACAGTCGACCGATAATGAAAAAACACGGTAAAAGGTAATCGTGTGACCACCTTGATTTCTAAAACCGTGCCCTCAAATTTACAGTGACCTAAAAGTCACATTTTTATATTGTGTAATTCATACATAAACGGCAAAACGCATTGAGAAACATGGAAAATATGAGAACCAACTAATTAAGGCATCCCCTCCTTGAAGAAACCTCTATGAGTAAGGTATTGCCTATGCTGCAAAGTTTAGATATTCAGTGATCACTACTTTTGTCAAGGACTGTACCTTGTCAGGTTTGGTACTGCGCTCTTAACAAATAAAAAAAACTTGAATACCCCTGGTCGTTGCTATGGTAGAGTGTAAACAATTTTTGAAAATGTCAACTTACTGTTTAAAATTATAATCTCTGTGGCCAACAATTAAAATGCACTGTACAGTTGAAACAGTTTCCGAATTCACCTATTTCGAAAGCATTCTATTGGGACTCTCGAAAGCTTTAAGTGATAAAATTGTCTAACTTCACGTTCTCTTGACCACTTATTTTCAGAAAAATCGGTAGGCGTACACAAGACTTATTTAAAGAAACTGCCCTCTGCTTCGTACACTGATATTTCAACATGGGAACAAACCCAAGATGTATTAATGCCGGAAGATTTACGAGCGTTTTATACATCATCAAACGGTTTCATATTCGAATGGACCTATACGCTGACAGGTAAGTGAGCCTCCATGTGTATTTTGAGCTCACCGATTCTCTTTTAGGAGATTGTCACAAAGACAAAGTAAGCGGTGCAATTAAAATCAATCCGCTTCAACATCTTGTACCAATATTTGGTTTTGAAACGTCGCAGGACCCTGGGGTGAAATTGGACACAGAACGCTATCAAATTAAATTATCAATCGAGAGTCGACTATTTATAATAGATACAGTGCCAGACAGAGGACATGTGGGTATTATAGCATCAAATCAATTGTAACGAATTTTTGTAGGTAGTTTTGGTATATTTATTCCCAAAATATGTCCCTACGATTTGGTTATTAACATCAAATATGACGTTACATTTTCTAGCAAACGATATAGCGACATATTTACGTATGGCTGTGTCTCACTTAGGTATACCTAATTGGCAAATGATCTACACACCAAATGGAGTGCCTCAGTGGACAGAGGTAAATCAGCCATCTGCATTTTAATTTTAAAATAACGCTAATATGATTTATCAGAACTTGTTCAGAATGTTGGCGCCACACTTGTTGCCTTTAAGTAAGACAATAGAGAGCACAAATCGTGAGCAGGAAGAAGAAAAAAATGACAACTGTTCGGAGGTTCCAATTAATAAATTGGATCCCAATTTATTTAAACTTCTTCCACGTACAGCAATTCCAGTATTAATTCGTAGTGTTACTAGTCCGCAGCCAGAAAAGACGGCGACGCGAAAGAAGGCTTATAAACAGGCAGATCAAACGCATAAGCCCCGCACGAGAATGTTACGAAAACCTTTGTATTATGTTAAGAAAAATTCCAAGTAAAATTATTTATCAGTCTACACATAAGACTATTACCATATCTATCATGCTTTTTATTATTTGTATCTGTTGTGTAATTATATATTGTTATTGTTTCTATCTCTTGAGCAAACTAACCAAAGTTCAATTAATTCAAATCACCCTACATAGTCTTTGAAGAAGGGTGTGTACTACCTATGGTGAAGGGGTGTATTCCTTAGATCGCTTATGCGGCAGTAGATTCTATCCAGAGTATGCAAAGCATTAGTCCCATAAGACTAAACCTCTCGAGCTCGTACTGTACAGGTGTTCCTGATCAGACACTTCTTATGAAAACCCCCTTTATTTGGCTGGAGCTCAATTTTAAACAGAAAATCACTGGCGCAAACAGAATTCAGCTGTCTCTAATCGTTGGGGCGTTTGTCGAGTCGATTTCTTTAATGCCCCAAAACTTTCTTGTTATTAAAGATAATTGTAAAATCTTAGAGTGATCACGATACACAGTTTTTGTACAAGGTGTTTTTTTTTTATACGACCTTAAACTATATTTCTCATACGGACCACCCTATATACATATTTCGGACAAATTGGTAAGAAACTGTCCTTAATTTTCTCTGATTGTGAATAAAGTGATCGATGTAGCCTCCCAATAAATTCACTTCTTGCAAAGAATTTTTCTTTGGCGTCCTTTATCCTAAATCTTACAAAAAACAACAAGTTAAAAAGTAATCGTAAACGATTTACATAAAGCGCATTTCCAATTGCATTCATTTCCCATTTGTAAGATGCAACTTCTATAAAATCGTAAAAATCCGGCCACAAATATGAAAGATAGCGTTGCACATGGGCAATCCATTTTTGTCGTGCTACTTCAATGTCAGTTTATGAGAAGAATTTCATTTCAATGCTTTTCTAAATAAGAAAGTTGGAACTGCGCATGCGCAAACCTAAATTTTGAAACTAATGTTAGATTTTCCTTTGTTCCAAGCGCCTAAATATCAAATTTCACTTAAATGCTTCCATAGATAAAAAAGTTGGCACTGCGCATGCGCAAAATAAAATTTTGAAACTGGCGCTAGATTTTCCTTTATTCCAAGTGCCTATGTATCAAATTTCATTTAAATTCTTCCATAAATAAAAAAGTTGGCACTGCGCATGCGCAAAACCAAATTTTGAAATTGGCAACTGGCGCTAGACTTTCCTTTATTCCAAGTGCCTATGTATCAAATTTCATTCAAATGCTTTTATAAGTAAAAAATTTTGCAATTCGGTTTATAAATGGTCGAGATGCGAAAAGGGCACTGTGAATTTTGAATCGATTCGATTCAACTTTTGGCATTGCGTATTATATGGCTAAAGCTATGCCCATATTGAATTTCATGCAATTCAGTTCATAACTAACGGAGATGTAAAAGCGATCGAACATTTCTAAACAAAGTTATCGTTCACACGGACAGATAGATGGACAGACAGACAAAGGAACAGACGGACAGACCAACAGGCAGACGACAGATAGCAATGCAAAATTATAACCGATCTCTAGGATCGTTAATAAACGGCAAAAGTGTAAAATTATGGAACATGTAAAAAACGGTTTTTTGTTTTTTTTTTACAATAACTTTTTTTGTAAGCGGTACAGAAAAAATTCCTTCCTTGGTACAAGACTCGACACCATAACGAACCAAACAGCGAAAAAAGTAGAACAATAGCTCTTAAGATAAAGACCTAGTAGCGTCGCAAAACGAGCGGACGGACGGACGGACGGACAAAGTGGCCACAATAGCGCATTTTTTTTATTTTTGTGGAAATGCGCTAAAAATGAAAAATTGCATTAGTAGTAAGGGGAAACATAAACAAAAAAGGGATCGCTCCAGCGATTCGGAGGACGACCTTTCCAAAAGGCAACTTCTAAAGCGCCTTAAGAGATTGGAACGAACGTTAGAAAGGAGGAAGCGAGATCGCCGTGGTCGATCGCGCTCTCCAGGTCCACGTTCAAGCGAAGCGGGCAGTTCTGCCGATGGTCGTCATCGACAACTATCTGTCCGCCGAGGCTCGTGTAGCTCAGGTTCAGATTTAGCTGTCCCGGAACGGGGTGTACGCCGAGATCTGCGGGATACGGGTACTCTTTGTGTAAGCGAAAGCCGGCGTCCATGGGGCCCGGTAGACGCTATTTGCGACGAAGGTCGCGACAGTTTCGGCTCCCCTACGCCCTTGCCGTCAACGGCTCCATTGTCGCCGGAAATTTCGCCGAATGTGCGAGGAGGGGCGGGGGACAATGGTGACGTGCTAGTCATAAGTGAAGACGTTAAATTATCGGACGAGGTCCTAATTTGTTTAGGAGATGATCCGGAGCGAGGCGAACTAAACACGTTTAACTTCCACCCCGCTCTTTCATCACGATGGAATCATATTCTAAGGCACGGCCTTTCAGAACAGGAGAAATCCAAGCTCTTGGATAATTATTTGTTTAAGACAAATTGTGAAGGTCTTACTCCTCCTTCGGTTAACCCCGAAATTTTGGCAGTCATGTCGCAAGGTTAGGGTTACATAAATAGAGACAAGTCTCGCTTGGAGCATCAAACGCATTTAAGCAGAGGGTTATCGGCCTTAGGAAAAGGACTGACGTCACTTTTAAATGAGCCGGATTCTGTTTCGCTTGAATTGAAAAGCAAGCTGTTGTCAGCGTTTTCGGATGCGGGTCGTATTCTTGCGGATCTTTTTTATAGAGAATCGCTTCGTCGTAGATTCTTAATTAATCCGATACTTAATAAACCCATTAAGGAGTTAGTTGAGCATTCAGATTTTGACACCTTCCTCTTTGGGGAGGATTTGCCAGATAAGATAAAAGCGGCAAAAGTCATTAAGAACACGGCTAGCGAATTAAAGGTTAGACCGATACAACGGTCTGTCCCCAAACAAAGGGGTGGTAAATGGATTAGAAGACCCACGAACGAAACGCATCAGCCAGCGGAAAACAGACAACGCCCTGTCCGTCGCTCGGGGGAGACGGATGCTTACAAGGGGCTCCCCAAGAGACATTTCCCGGTCAGGCGCGACCGTTATGTGAGGAAATCGACGTAGTCGAGGTGAGTCCTCCTTTTGCCGGTCGGATTGCTTTTCATTATTTACCCTGGTCACAATTAACCTCCAACCCAGTGATTTTGAGTTGGGTCAAGGGTCTTAAGTTACCTTTATTAAGGAAGCCGGTACAGCCGCATCTTCCCGAAAGACACCTTCCGCAGGTCTCTCTTAGAGAGGATAGCGATCTTCGGGAGACTGTTAATGAGTTAATAAGACTGGGGGCCGTACAGAAATGTTACAATTCACAGGATGAATTTATTTCAAGGGTGTTCTTGGTTGCCAAACCGAACGGAAAGAAACGGTTAATTTTAAATCTGAAAGGGTTTAATTCTTTCATTGACAAACCTCATTTTAAATTAGAGGATTTTCGTACAGCCGCGAAGCTAGTTAGTGAAGGTTCCTTTCTAACCACAATAGATCTGGAAAACGCTTATTTCGCGGTTCCGATTCACGGGGAACACAGGAAATTTTTAAGATTTTATTATAATAACTCGCTTTACGAGTTTACGTGTTTGCCATTTGGTTTGGCTTGCGCTCCGTATGTTTTTACGAAATTGATGAAACCCATCTTAGCTTTTCTACGAGGCAAGGGGGTGACAGTAGTCAACTACTTAGATGATTTTTTGATTATTGGCGAGTCCTTCGACCTTTGTAGGCGACATACGAACCTTTGTATCGATCTTTTAGAATCCCTCGGGTTCGTAATAAACTATGCGAAAAGTTGCTTGACGCCTAAAACGGCGTGTAAATTTTTAGGCTTTATTTTCGATACCTCGAAACTTCGCTTATCGCTTCCCAAGGACAAGCGTTTACATATTTATAAGTTATTGGCTATTGCAGTCCGTCCGTAGGCGCAATACTTGCAAAATTAGAATCTGCTCAGTTGATAGGTGTTCTAGTAGCTGCTTGCCCAGCGGTTAAATACGGCTGGAGGCATACAAAGGCGCTGGAACGGGCGAAAGTAGATGCACTTAAGCTTTACAATGAGAGTTTTAACGCGGTGATGCGCATTCCACAGAAGTCAATTAGCTCAGACTTAATCTGGTGGATTTCGCACATTTTTACCGCACACAACGATTTTAAGAAAGAGGCGTTTAGAATGGAGATTTTTACGGACGCGTCGTTAACGGGCTGGGGGGCCTGTACCACGATAGATAAAGCGAGGGGGGGGTGGAATTTAACGGAACGGAAGTATCACATCAACGCGTTAGAATTATTAGCCATTTTCAATGGGATAAAAAATTTCGCCCAAGACCTCAGAGACTGTAATATTCTAGTCAGATCAGATAATACAACAGCGATAGCATGTGTAAATCGCATGGGTAGCGTGCGGTATTCAGGACTGAACAGATTGGCTCAAGAAATCTGGAGCTGGTGCGAGCAAAGAAATTTATGGGTTAGTGTGGCATATATATCGTCTAAAGACAATTGGCAAGCAGATGCTGAGTCTAGAGTTCTCCCTCCTGACACGGAGTGGAGCTTGTCTCAATTTGCTTTTGAGTATATAGTGAAAGTTTTTGGGAAACCGGAGGTTGATTTGTTTGCCTCTAAAAATAATAAGAAATGTGCGCGATATTTTTCGTGGCAACGAGATACCAAAGCGGAAGCGATTGACGCCTTTACAGTAAGTTGGCGTAAGGTTTTTTTCTACGCTTTTCCTCCATTTAGTCTTATTCTGAGATCCTTAAATAAGATTCTGGAAGATGAGGCTACCGGTATTTTTGTTGTCCCTGATTGGAGATCACAACCTTGGTATCCCCTATTCCGGAAATTGGCCATAAATGAGATAGCGTACTTGGGACCGGATAGTTCTTTACTGATTTCTCCTTTCAGCAACAGCCCCCATCCGTTATCTCGGAGCCTTACCCTGGCAGTCACCGTTTTATCAGGGAAGCCTTCAAACACAGACAAGTGCCCGAAAGTTCTATCAACACGATTTTGAAGTCAGTGGCTACATCAACCGTCGCACAATATGACATCGCATACAAGCTTTGGTGGGAATTTTCTCAGAGAACTCACACACATCAGTTCTCCGCAAA